ACTCATTTATTTAAATATTTACCTACCTCTTTATTACATTTCAGCAGATTTTTACATCATAAGGAAAACAGCTTGCGTTTAATTCTTATAAAACTTTGACTATTTCTAATAAACCAAAAATCTTCGAACTCTGAACTAAAATCAGGGGCATAGCTAGTCGCATATTTGTCAGCACTTAATTGACACTGTCCATTAGTCACGCGATTATGTTACATGACAATTACAATACCATTAGCGCTGTAAGGTTGTTATTCGATGGATAAGTGTATTTAAACCCAATTTCGGAACAATTCAATATCAGTCGGAAGCATGATTCGAATGAAGATACTAACTACAAAAGCTTTTTTAATATGTTTCTTTATTGCTTACATGATTTTAAAACCAACTTTTTGTGAAGAGTATCCTGAATTGACAACAGTTGACGATACTGCTAATTCTACGACAATATGCATTTTGCGAATATTCGAACATAACTTTGAATGTGGTCAACGTATAACATTTATAGACAATAAGGGCTTTGTCAGCAAACTTTTAAAAAGCATTAGTGAAAGAAATTGCTATAGTTTTATTGTGAAATCTTTACCCAAAAAGGATTGGCTCATCTTCAACAAAATATACGTAATTGTGTCAACAGATACAGATAATATAAAGAAAATAATCGTTCAATTAAAATTTGAAACATTTTGGAATCCCAGAGCTTGGTTTATTGTTTCCGCACAAAACTGTACAGATGTTGAAATAAAAGAAATATTCGAATTATTTCTATCCTACAAAATATACAATATGATATTACTGGTACCAGATAATATTTACACATATGTATATACATATTTCCCTTTTGAAAATGAAGAATGTGGAGACGATTCCACTGCTGTCAACGTTGGAAATTGCCAAGATGTTGCCAACAATGCCGTTTATTTTCAAAAAAAAGAGATCAAATCTTTAAATAAATGCAAGGTTAAAGTGAACAAATTTTCAGAAAGACACAATATAACGATTCTGGAACAGCATGTTTTAGATAGTTTTGCTAATTATACCAACTTTTCTTTAATATATGAAGAGCTAAATATGGACAAAAATTTTGGGGTCGTACTGCCAAATGGTACTGCTACTGGTCTCTTGGGTTACTTACAGAGAAATGAAGCAGATATAGCTATGGGATCTACAGTTTTAATACAGAATCGAGCAAACTTATACGATTTTATCAGTGGTTTTAACTTTGCCTCATTTAAGCTGTACTCCTCGGCCGAAGACGAAGAAAGGTGGAAGTCCGTCTACATAGAATTCGACGAAGAAACATGGTCACTTATTTTACTATTGTATTTTGTAATGATAATTGTATGTATTTTGCTACTGAACATGTCGCCTAAAATATCCTACAATCCTGTATACGTAATTTTTAATCTTTACGGATACTTTTTGGTGAACGGTGTGGAACCTTTTTCAAAGTCAAAGCGACTAAGGAGAGTTATGATTTCGTGGATTTGGTTTACATTCCTCATGAGTAGTTTTTACAACTCCGACATGTACAGCTTGGTAACGGGTCACATGACTTACAAACGGCAAATAAGCCACGAGAAACTATCCATTATTCCTTATAAACCATGCATCAGTACCGTTATGCGCACTTTTTTCATTTTCGCTTACAACGAAGTTTTGCCGGAAAGTATTGACAACCCGTCTTGTATGTCTATAGAGGGCTCTTTAGATACTGTAGCTTCAAGCAAAGACTTATATACAGTGCAGCTAAAATCAACATACACTTCCAGAGAAAAAGATTTTATATACGCCAGTGGAAAACGTAAACTAGATTCATGGGATTTTTCTAATGATATTATACTGTGTTTTTACATATATAAAGGATTTGTTTTAAAGGATCAGCTGCAAACGTTTGCCTATAGAATGTTCGAAACGGGATTGGTTAAATCTTATAATATGAAGATTATGCCAGAACGTACTGTAGATGTGCGGAACAAGAAAACTTTCAAACAATTTGTAATAGGTGATTTTCGAGTACACTTTGGTGTGCTTTTTGTCGGATACATAATATCTACGAGTGTTTTTCTATTCGAAAAATACATATTTAAGAAGAAAACTAAATAAATGTGGATTAACTATGAAAATATTTTCGTTAAATTGTGTTTTCGGGTTATATAGTGATTTGGAACATATTAAAGTTTATTGCTAAACATTGTTTTATATGATACCTACTTGTAAAAATATCTCTATGGCCTCCTCTTGCCAAAACACAGCTTAAACCCTTCTGGATTTTCACGATGTTTTAAATAACATTTTTAGGAATACGTTCCGCCTCTTCTGCAATAATTCTTTTTAACTCCCTGATGTTTTGTGAAGCAGGTAGCACTGATCTTAGCCGTATCTTTAGATCATTCCAGACATGCTCAATTGGGTTAAAGACAGGTCTTCGATCTGGGCAATTTAAATGACGAATCCTAACTTCTTGCATTTACGCTTCTGCGTCACCCGAAAGGTCCGGGCGAGCATTTGTCATCCATAAAAATTCAATCTTTCTCAAGTGCAGTCAATGCGGGTTGTGCATATGAATCAGGACTTCCGTTGTTCCATTTTATTGTTTTAAACTTTCATGGTCACTAACATTATAGTAATATATGTTATTTACGGGATTGTTACTTATTGTTGTATATTAAGAGGTAACAAACATGATGTCGAGTCGCACTTGGCAAATTTAAATGGTATCCATTCTAAAATTAACTTCACTTATGAGATGGAAGACGACAGAAGTCTGGCCTTTCTGGATGTGAAGATTCGGGTGAGGAATGACGGTTCGCTTAGCCATTCCATTTACCGCAAACCTACACACACTGACCGCTATCTCAACGCCTCCTCGGATCACCACCCTAAACATTTTAACTCTGTAGTGACTTCACTGAAGAATCGTGCATATGACCTGTGTGATGAGGAACATCTTCAAGAAGAGTTGGAGCATGTACGACGAGTCTTATACAGTAATGGATACCAGGGACACTTTCCATCTAGACACAAACTAAGTCACCAGAGACACAGAGTATACAGACAACCTGTTTATTTGCCATATGTCAAAGGAGTGACTAACAAGATCTCAAAGATACTGAATAATTACTCACTAAACACAGTCTTCACTCCACAAACTATATAGTGATGCTAGTGCATCTTCACTCCTTTACGAAAGGTTTCACAATACCTACGGTCTCCTAAAGACAACTTCGCCTTGGGGAAACCTGGTGTCTATAAGATCGATTGCAGCTGTGGCAGTTCGTACATTGGCCAAACAAAGCGAACAGTAGCATGCCGAATGAGGGAACACATAAAAGCATTCAAGAACAACGATACGCAGAAATCAACCATCGCGGAACATTTGATTGATTCTGGTCCTAACCACTGGATTGAGTTTCATAACCCACAGATTATCTCGATAGGACGCCACTACATACCAAGATTGGTCAGGGCAGCGATTGAAATAACAAAACATAAAATTGTCGAGTGTCTGGAATCCTATGGTTCGTATGTATAAAACCGGAAATAATCAAAAAAGTGTCGTGTCGCGATCCGATACAGTAAGTGTTGTGTGTCGAGAACAGTTTCGAGTGAATAGTGAGAATGTGAACAGTGGTACGGGTATCGAAAGCAATAAAAGAGTTCGTCGGAGGGTAGACAGATATGTCTGCCAATAACAGCCTACCCGCAATTACTTCAGTTACTCCGTAACTCGCTAAAAACAAGGTACATGGTAACAATACCGTAAATAACTTATATTACTATAATGTTCCATTTTCTATGAAAACTTAGTCTGTTCTTCCGTCGAATTAATTGCTGCCCAAAACATAACGGGGCCTCCACCATAAGGAGTGATTTCTTTGAAAACACACTTCTACATAGTTTTCCCTGGTTTTTGCAGCACTCGCTGGTCCCCTCTATACAAAGAGATTCTAGCTTCATCAGAAAACAATACTTTATTCCAGTCCTAAAGAGTCCATGAAGCTCAGACACACAGATTGTGATTCTGATATTGACAGCCAAAAGGCTCCTCTTGACCGCGAGCTAACTTCTACTCCTTTTACATCTTGCTCTTCATCAGGTCCATACTTAACGCTACGTTACGATTCCGCAACACCTCACTCACCAAAAACAGTCATCTCTTGGATCTGAGCATCGTTTTTTTCCTGAGTCGGGTCTTCTTTTGACCGAACCAGTATCTTGATACCGTTGCCAAGTCCTCTAGATGATTGAACGACTCATTTAGAAGCTGAGGCACGTATGTTTACGAACGACCTTCTTCAAATAGGACTATAATTTTACCGGTCCTTAGCGCTTTATCACTCATATGAGAAAGTACCTAGTATTTAATGTAAAAAGAAAGATTAAATTTAGTAAATAGTAAATAATCGTTCCAGCAATTCGCGCCATTAATAAAGCAATTTTACAATTATCTGCAATAATCTTTTTTTTTTTGTTACTTTCAAATTTTTAATTTGGAACGTAAATAATGATGTCAGAATGCTTCAAATAACATGCCAATACATCAATACATCGTAAAATTAATAAACTCCCGTTCTTGTAATATTCATTGAAGTAAAGAATAAAATCTAAAGTACTCGTTTTTTTGCAAAAGAGTTTATTTAACATCTTTAGTCTCTGCATTACACAAAATGGTAATGTACGAGTAAGTCGCATTCTTTATTGCAGTATAAGCTACAGGTAGTAATGTTTTCGAAGCATAAAAATCCTTCGATCATTCCTTTTGTAATAATACTTCATAATTTTAATTTACCCATTAACAAAAAATACATTCCCACTATAAGGATAAGGGAAAAGGATATAAGAGAAAATAACATTTGAAATGTAGATATTTTAATGGAGGAATTCTTAGTTTTATATTTAATTAATAGTAAAAAAAAATGTAGGTGTTAAATTATTATTTTTAAGCATTTAACTACCAGATGTTTTAAATTTAGGTATACCATGGTGTACGTGTATTTAGGTGTGAATTGAAAATAAATTACAAAAACAATATTGATAATTTGCACTAAAAAAAAAACAACAAAAAAAATAACAGAAAAATAAACAACTGCATTATAAAATGCTTCGAAACTTAATAGCGTTTCCACATTTACTTTAATGAACAATCAAAGATACGTATCGGGCACACGTAGCAATTTAATTCCTCACATAAAACAAACCAAACATAGTGAATATCATAAAAGCTACGATCACAGAGAATAAAACCTGAAACAAAAATCACTCGTTATACTTACATTATGCAGCATGGCCTTAGAGCATTTACGATATAGTGATATATAGATATAGTGGTATATACTCTAAGAGCATGGTATGTAGGAAGCATTATAATTTAATTGAAAGTTCTATTTTTCAATAAACAGCAAGTAACTGAAGTTTCTTTCGCGTGTTTTTTTTTCGAATTAGTCAACCATTCATTCCTTCAGTATAGGTAGCGGCAAACTTCGTGATCAAAATCACAGACAATTCCGCAATAGACGTCTTTGTATGTAAAATTGCTACTGTTCAGGCTTGTCTATGGTTGTTGCTCAAGTTTGGCGGGATGTAGAGCTTCCTTTGCCTTAAGCCGCTTTTATAAGTTAGCTGGCGTGCTAAGTACTCCAGATACAAAGCCCTTCTAGCTTCATTTACAGTCGTTTGAATTTCACTTTTCTTGCATAGCATCATCATCATCATCCCCACTGCTGGGGCACAGGTCTTACCTATGGATGGAATAGGAAGATTGGGCCGTGACTAACACGCGGGCCCAGTGCCGATTAGTGGGTGCTAATGACTGCAGATGCACCCGGGACCAGCGACTTAACGTGCCTTCCGAAAGACGGAGGAGCTCGAGACAATATATTTTTGATCACTCATCCGATGAGCAGCAAAATTTGCGAGTTCCTTAACTTCCCCAATCGTATAACTAACGAACGCTAACCTAAGTAATAATAAACAATTTTATCTATAATGTTGCTCCTTTATGATTTGCTTAACTGCTGTTTATAAGATATGTTGGAATGTTTAACAAAAATCTATTATGGATACTGACCTTATTTTGCCAACGTCTGTTCTCGACGCACTTGCTGTAAGGCATTGTGGTGAAGGTCACAGAGTTGTAAAGCGGCACCCAAAAGTTAGGGAACGCCCAAAATATGAGGTCGTCGAAAGCCTTACGAATTCTGTATGACGGGCGGGTTACTAGATCCCTCATCTAAAACAGTGTTTATAAACAGTAATTTATGACTTAAGGATAAGTACGGAAACTATATTATCCTCTAACATAAGACAGTAATTTATGTTATTAACTGATCTTATGAGTAACTGATCAGTTACTCCGTGATCATGGCGCTTGAAACAACAGTGCCGAAATATCGGGGATTCGCAAAGGACAAGGTACGTGGCAGCAATCCTGTTAATAACATAATATACTATAGTGTTAGTGACCATAGAAGTTTAACACAATATAGTGTTTATATCTTTACTAATATTATAAAGAGGAAATATTTGTTTGTTTGTATTGAACAGGTTCCGAAACTACTGGACCGATTTGAAAAATTATTTCCCGTTCAGAATCCTAGAGTTACCCTGATGAACATAGGCTATAGAATCTTTCCAAAAAAAAGTTAGGGTTCCATAAGAATTCCGCCGCAGAAACACATACACCCTGGCGGTATGAAAACTTTGATAACGTAACCTAGGGTGTGAAGAAATAGCAAACAATTACCTTATATTGCTTACGCTGCGGAAGTAGTTGAGAGTAGAGCAAAGTGATGTAGGTAATAAGTTTTATAGAAGACATCAAACCTACAAAAAAGTCCGTGATAACATATGTCTAACTATTACAGTTTCATTTCCTCCGTGTTAATTTGTGGAAAAATGTTATAGTGAGCCAAACTTAAAAGATGGGCATAAGCTGTCGCGGACTTTTTAATTGAACTTTTAAAGGGGAACAATTCCGCCATACATGATTTTTGTTTCGAATTCATTTACGCAGTTCACGCAACGGAAGCGCACAAATGGAATATTTTTACCTGTTTTTGCAACATGTATATAAATGATCAGCTCCTACTAGTCGCAGTGAGATGTTATACAGCCTTAAGCCTTTCTCAATAAATGCACTATCTAACACAAAAAGATTTTTTCAAATCGGACCTGAGATTAGCGTGCGTAAAATGGGTCCTAAACTATGCAACAAAATTTTCACTATCAGTTAAATAAATTTTCATGGAAGGTTTATAATTATATAAAGAAATAGGGTATTTGACAGTGTTAAAAATAAAGTGCCAATTGTTAGCATCTGTGTTTAGAATGAATATTGGCAGGGGTTATTACTATTTATACTAAAAAAATATTCATAATTTTACTAAAAACTAACGAAAACGATAATAGTTTCCTTATCTATTGTCACGTGACCCAAAACGCTTGGGATTGGCGGAGCCTAAAATGACGTCACACGCAAGTAAACTTCCGGTTAAAGTGACATTATATTGTATCGTTTGACGTTTTAATAACAGTCGTGTGACGTCACACACTAGTAAGACGCCATATTGTCCAGAGAAACGTTTTCGCGGCAACTTGTAAATGGAGTTTTTGATTTTTTTATTTTTACTGAAATACACAACTGAATGATGAATATCCACTTTTTACGGACTCCATAAACATTAGTCAATAACGTGAGATCGTTTTCTAAAACTTGTCAAATACCCTATTCATTGTGTATAATACAAGCCTGATAACAAAAACTACAGTCTACCTATTCTACAGCTTTACACCGAAGCGAAGCAAGGGCGGGCCACTAGTGTAAGATGTCCGTAAAAGTAATAAACTAAATGGCTTCAAGAGTTTAATTGTGAATTCATAATTCCAAGCCGCATTTATAATTCATAAGCACAATCACGGCATTAAGTATTTGTAGCTAAAAGACCATACTACCAAGAGCTGATTTGATAGAAATTGAGGAGTATGAGACTTCAAGGATGAAACCAACAGCTGTTGTTTTCAACAGCAGTAGATCATAATATGTTTTTTTTTAAAACCCATAAGAAATTGAAAAGTGGAGTACAACCAACTTTTCCGTTGTACTTAAACATGATAATGAATGTAATATCCTAACCTCTACGTAATTGTACATCGCCAAGTCGCTGATCGCATACGTATCCTTCCATCTCGTATCCGAGAACTCTTCGAGGACTCGTGGTAGATCATCTTTGTATTTCTGCATGAGCTGGTCCAAGAGGGTGCAGTCTTCAAAGCCAGCATTCATTCCTTGACCATAGAACGGGACCACGGCGTGAGCAGCATCCCCGATAATCAACGCTTTATCGTCTACATTGTAAGGGCGGCACTATAAAGAGGAATGAAAAAAATATTGTCATCATTAAACTGTCAACGAAGTAAGAGATGGGATCAGCTTAAGCAACGGCGCGTGTGATATATTTACATTACATGTGGGCCATATGATGGCCTGCCACCAGTTTAATATAAAAAAATATCAGCTGAACGAAGCCCACAGCTGAGTATAAGCTTCCCCGTGTTGTACTTTCTGCCACAAACATAGATGTTTTTCTAATATCTTTAGTTAGACGATAAAATATAGTCAAGATTTTGTATTATTATTTACCACTGTTTTGAAAATTCTACCAATTATATCTAGGAGATACGATGGTCGTGATGGAAAGAATACTTCCTAGCTCGACCACATAGAAACCCTTGTTATTATTACATTTAAGAATGGTATTAAATAGCTAAGAAAATTTACTATTTTTTACGCCTATTTTCGAGTTTCTTACTGTCTAGATGTTAGAAATATGACTGCCGTGCTAGAAAGAACAAATTCCTAGACGACTTCCTTCACGACCCCGCCCAAACTCAGTGTTGTTTTTAAAATTTTATGACGTTTTAAAATAGTTTAGAATATTTACTCCTATTTCTGAATTTCCAACTAATATATAGATCTTAGAGATAAGTGTCGTACTGGAAAGAATGACTTCCTAGCACGACCTAGCCGAAACTTGTGTTAGTTTTGGGGATTTAAAACGGTATAAAGTAATTGAGAATATCTACAATTTTTTACTTATATTTTTAATATAGCACAGATCTTAAATTACCATCGGTCATTCTGTAAATACCCAATTCTATGTAGCATTTCAATACAATATTGTGTGTTTAAATATACAGCAGCAACTGTAAGGATCTATTTAGCGGATTTAGTAGACGGCCGATTCATTTAAAATATACTAATATAAATACTAAATGCTTCCTTAAAAAATAAAATAATATATTGTTTTAAACTCTCATGGTCACTAACATTAATATAAGTTATTTACGGGATTGTTACCATGTACCTTTTTTTAGCGAGTTTCCGTTATTTCTGCACTGTTGCAAGCACCATGATCACGGAGTAACTGAAACCATGATCACGGAGTAACCCAAGTAACATAAAAGAATGCGCCCACGCTTTAGATGATGACATTGTCAAATATTTATTACGTCCTAGGAACATTCAGCCTCCAAAACTATATGGTCTGCCGAAAATCCATAAGCCAAATGTGCCGCTACGTCCGATCGTGAGTCAGATAGACTCGCCTACATATGAACTGGCCAAGCACGTGGCAAAAGTATTGCAGCCGATAGTGGAACGAACGTCGTCGTTTGTGAAGGATTCCCGCCATTTCATAGAAATATTGCACCAAAACAAGGTAGATGAAAATCAGTTGATGGTTAGTTTTGACGTGAAATCACTGTTCACAAATGTACCTGTGTTGGATTGTCTGGAAGTGGTGAAGGTGAAGATGCAAGAAAATGACATCCCGAAGGAATATGCCAAGCTGTTGCATCATTGTTTGTCGACGAATTTCTTTATATATCAAGGTCAGTACTACCTCCAAATAGATGGAGTCGCAATGGGCAGTCCCGTGGCTCCAGTGGTTGCCAATATATGGATGGAGCATTTTGAAGAAAAAGCCTTTATCACCGTACCCACAGAAATAAAACTATGGATGAGGTTTGTCGATGACGTATTCTGTATATTAAGAGGTAACAAACATGACGTCGAGTCTCACTTGGCAAATTTAAATGGTATTCATTCTAAAATCAACTTTACCTATGAGATGGAAGAAGACAGAAGTCTGGCCTTTCTGGATGTGAAGATTCAGGTGAGGAATGACAGTTCGCTTGGTCATTCCATATACCGCAAACGTACATACACTGACCGCTATCTCAACGCCTCCTCGCATCACCACCCTAAACAACTTAACTCTGTAGTGACTTCACTGACGAACCGTGCATATAACCTGTGTGATGAAGAAGAGTTGGAGCATGTACGACGAGTCTTACAGAGTAATGGATACCAGGGACATTTTCCATCTAGACACAAACTAAGATACCAGAGACACAGAGTAGACAGACAACCTGTTTATTTGGCATACGTCAAAGGAGTGACTGACAAGATCTCAAACATACTGAATAAGTACTCACTAAACACTGTCTACACTCCTGTGCGAAAGGTTTCACAATACCTACGGTCTCCTAAAGACAACTTCGCCTTGGAGAAACCTGGTGTCTATAAGATCGATTGCAGCTGTGGCAGTTCGTACATTGGCCAAACTAAACGAACAGTATCATGCCGAATGATAACACATAAAAGTAATCAGAAACAATGATGCGCAGAAATCAGCCATCGGGGAACATTTGATTGATTCTGGTCCTAACCACTGGATTGAGTTTCATAACCCACAGATTATCTCGACAGAATGCCACTACATACCAAGATTGGTCAGGGAAGCGATTGAAATAACAAAACAAAAAAAAACAATCGTGAGGACGGGTTTAAATTGTCGAGTGTCTGGAACCTTGTGGTTCGTATGTGTAAAACCGGAAATAAACAAAAAAGTGTCGTGTCGCGATCCGATACTGTAAGCGTTATGCGTCGAGAAAAGTTTCGAGTGAATAGTGAGAATGTGAACAGTGGTACGGGTATCGAACGCAATAAAAGACTTCGTCGGAAGGTAGACCGATATGTCTGCCAATAACAGTGTACCCGCAATTACTTCAGTTACTCCGTGCTCATGGCGTATGCACAGTGCCAAATTTCGGAAACTCGCTAAAAATAAGGTACATGGTAACAATCCCGTAAATAAATTATATTACTATTAAATAAAATAATTAGGCAATTATAAAATCAATAATTTATGAAATGCAGCAGAGGTAAAAAACATAGTGCAAGGTAGTAGGAAACATAGAATAGATCTTGAGGACACTGAGAAATAGAAGTAAATGATAGTAAATGTTCGATAGCTTAATGTCTTCTATATGTGGATTTCTCAATAAAAATCGGATATTCAGATTATAGAATATTATTCATAGTAAAATACAGATCTATTAAAATTAGGTGCGAACGTTGTCTTTTTTGAATTCGAATGCAAGAGGGAGAGTGAATCTATATAAATCAAAATGAGTGAATGTAGTAACGAATGGGTACGAAATGAATGTATGAATGGACGATGACGATGGACCGATTGCAGTTTCTCTCTTCGAAGGATAGATGGCGTTAACATACGGCAGGCCTTGGAAAATTTAGTTTCCAACAAGATCACGCGTTCGTATTCTCGCAGACTTCTTCATCAGGATGCCGAGGAAGAGGACAAAGCTTCGAAAATGTCCTTTGTATATTTCCTGCTGCCGTCCGTATTTCAGCCGCTCGAGATATGCCGTCTGTGCCAGGGTAGACTCTCATGATTCTGCCAAGCCGCCATCTCAATGGTGGTAAATTGTCCTCCTTTATCAACACCAACATATTTTCACGAAGATCAGGAGCAGCGGCCTTCCACTTGGTACGGGTCTGCAATTCTGAAATATACTCCTTGGACCACCTAGTCCAAAAGTGTTGTCGCATCTGTTCGATTCTGTCGTAGCGAAGAAGGCGTCCAGGAATAGTCGTCGTCAGGTCTTCGCAAGCTGGAGCGGTCAAAGGCCTTCCTATGAGGAAATGCGCAGGAGTAAGGGGAGTATAGTCGCTGGGATCTGAGGAAAGAGGTGACATAGGCCTGCTGTTTAGCACGGCTTCAATTGAAGTTAAAACAGTTGTGAGTTCCTCAAATGTCAATCTAGCATCCCCCACAATTCGTCGAAGGTGATGCTTGCACGACTTGATTCCAGATTCCCACAAACCACCAAAATGAGGACTATAAGGATAAATAAATTTGAATTTAATATTTTCATTATTTGCAAAATCAACAACGTTATCAGAGCAATTATTGATAAATTTATTTATTTCTTTCTCTGCTCCGACAAAATTCCTTCCATTATCTGAATGAATTTCAATCGGTTTACCGCGGCGAGCAATAAATCGTTTCAAAGCCAATATATAATCAGCAGATGACAGACTGCTAACTAGTTCTAAATGAACCGCACGCGTCACGAAACAAACGAATAAACAAATGTAACCCTTAATTAATTGACAACCCCGGCCTCTACGGTTCATGATCGAAACAGGACCTGCATAGTCTACACCACAGTACATAAACGGATGACCAGGATGCAAACGCTGAGGAGGTAAGTTACCCATGATCGGTGTCAAAATGTTACCCTTCATTCGTGTACATGTAACACACTGTCTAACAACCTTTCTGGCGAGATTTCGACCACCTAATGGCCACCAAGATTCTCGAACAGAACTTAGTAATAACTGTGGGCCCGCGTGGAGCAGTCGTATATGCTGATCGCGAAACAACAACAACGTAAAACGATGCTTACTACAAAGTAATATCGGGTGCTTCTTATCATAACTAAAATCATTCGCATTAGACAATCTTCCACCTACTCTTATAATTTTATTCGAATCTAAAAATATGTTAAGTCCCGATATTCTACTATTACGCTTAACAGGTACAGAAAGATTATTTATTAACATAGAATATTCCGATGGAAACATTTGTTTTTGTGCGACAACCCGAAGCGTGCAGTCGGCCGCGCGGAGCTCATCAACTGATAGTAAACCGGTTCGGTGCGATTGCTTACTCATTGGGGCTCGTGCATTGTAAACAAATCTAAGGACGTATGCTACTGTTCTTTTCATTCTACTAAAACTCGAAAACCTATCAAAGTCTAATAACATGCATGTGTCAACTATAGTAGATAACGTAATTGTTTGTGACTTTAATTCAGGTAATTCATGCACATTGTTGCAAATAGGAACGAACTGGTTAGGAATAAAATCATTACATTGAAGAAAGGACGGACCGTTCCACCATTGACTACAATGACTAAGCGCGTCAAAATTAAGACCTCGAGACAGCATGTCAGCGGGGTTATCCTTACTATTAACATGAAGCCAAATTGTATCGC